TCCAAAACAGTCCAGTGGCACCTTTAAGACCAAGTTTTATTCAGGTACAAGCTCTCCCTCCTCTGTGAGGGCAGATCTGCAGGTTCCCCCCCAATAGCTAGCAATCCAAAACAGTCTAGTGGCACCTTTAAGACCAAGTTTTATTCAGGTACAAGCTCTCCCTCCTCTGTGAGGACAGATCTGCACATTCCCCCACCCCCAATAGCTAGCAATCCAAAACAGTCCAGTGGAGCCTGAGTGGTGGCTGTTGCCTTCTGACACACTTCCGGTGATGTCAGGGGGTGTGGCATATGCAAACGAGTTATGCTAATGAGCTCCTGCCTTCCTCTGTCTCTGCGGCATTCCCACCCCTCTGGAGCTGCTGTCCACGACACTGCTTCACATTCGGCAGCTTTCTCATCCAGCCCCCACTGGCTCCTAATATCTTCTTTTAGAGGGGCTGGGTGCCCCCACCTCCCCATTGAGAGCATCTTCCCTTCCCGAGTCAGATAAGATTTGAGCACTTAACATCAGGCGATTTTTGTTTGCTGAAATACTTTGTTGTGATAAGCATTACTTCGTTGCGTACGATTGTTTGCTTATTTTGGGAAACCGATAAAGAGATTATAAAACACATAATGAATAATTAAAACAGATTTAAACTGAGCCATCAACAAAACAGGTGGCACAGCGGTTTAATATGGTAGCCACAAAAACCGGAGCCGCCAGGCCGTAGACCCAACGGTGGGTCTTCACCTAATGGGCCATTTGAGGATGGAAGCTTCAGCAGGGGAGGCCAGTAGATGGAGCACTTGGATGCCCACCGCCTCACCCAAAGGCCTGGGGGAGCAGCTCCATTTTACAGGCCCCCGCGGAACTGTGATAGGACAAAAGGAACTGTAATAAAATAGAAAGAAACAAAGAAGAAGAAGAAGAGATTGGATTTATACCCCGCCCTTCACTTGGAGTCTCAGAGTGGCTTACAAACTCCCTTCCCTTCCCCTCCCCACAACAGACACCCTGTGAGGTGGGTGGGGCTGAGAGAGCTCTGACACAAACTGCTCTTTTTCAAGGACAGCGGTGCCAGAGCTTGTGACTGACCCAAGGTCACATCAGCAGGTGCAAGTGGAGGAGTGGGGAATCAAACCCGGTTCTCCCAGATCAGAGTCCGTGCACTTAACCACTGCACCAAACTGACTCTCTGAAGAGGAAGAAGAGGAGAAAGAAGAAAAAGAAGAGAAGAAGAAGAGATTGAATTTATACTCCGCCTTTCACTTGGAGTCTCGGAGCAGCTTACAAACTCCTTTCCCTTCCCCTCCCCACAACAGACACCCTGGGAGGTGGGTGGGGCTGAGAGAACTCTGACACAAACTGCTCTTTTTCAAGGACAGCTGTGCCAAAGCTTGTGACTGACCCAAGGTCACACCAGCAGGTGCAAGTGGAGGAGTGGGGAATCAAACCTGGTTCTCCCAGATTAGAGTCCACACACTTAACCACTACACCAAACTGGCTCTCAAAGGAAAGCTCCGGGAATGGGTGGGGGGCGGGGAGAAAGAGAAGGGGGAATAAAAAGAAGGAAAACCTGGAGAGGGAAATGGAACAACCAGTTTTCCTGACCCAACACTGGCTGGGGCTGCTACTTCAGAGGTCATCCCTGTCACTTGAATGAAGGCAGCCGAGAACAAGCCCTGCCTTACCATAGCCCCGGCCACTTTCTGAAAAGCTCAGCAGGCACCAGGAGGAAGTAGTGGCAGGCACTAAGCTGGGGAACCCCTTACCTCTGACCTTAGACTTTTCCAGCTAATTTTTCAGATCATCTCCTTGCTGCTGGGCGACACTCCTCGCCCAAGGGTGAGGGAACACTGTGAGACAAATGGGGATCGTCTGCAGGTGGTTTTGCCGACTGAAATGTACTCGTCCCCATGACAGCCCTGGGAGGCACGCTTCTAATGTTCTCGTTTTTCCAGTGGAGGATGGGGTCTTGACCAAAGCAGTTGCTGACTTTTAGTGACGTCTTCCCTGACAGCAACCTGCTGGACAGCGAAGCCGATGGGATCGAGGTGTCCTATAATGCGTGCGGGGTCCTCTCCCACATCATGTTCGACGGGCCAGACGCCTGGGTGATTCCCGAGCCGCGCAGAGAGGAAGTTGTGGACAGGATGTGGGCAGCTATCCAGCGCTGGGACGTTAACTCCAGAAGGAACATTAATTACAGGTGATCAGGGATCCGGTCACAGCTGCGAACAGGAAGTCTCTTTAGTTCTTCCAGGGCAGGGGGGTGGCCAAACCTGCTTAACGTAAGAGCCACACAGAATAAACGTCAGAGGCTTGAGAGCCGCGAGACGTCGACAAATATTACACCTTTTTATTGGGAAATACGCAAATTTGCTTTTAATTAGCATTAAACGAGACGTCCAAAAATAAGAACCAAAGGGGTAAAAGCAGATACTGATAATGATATTTATCTGTCCAATGATATTTGTTTGCTAGTGATATTTAGCTTCCCCAGCCGCCCTGCCGGGAGCCACACCAATAGGTGTGAAAGGGCCACATGCGGCTCCCGAGCCACTGTTTGGCCACCCCTGTTCTAGGGTCTAGCCCCTAAGTACAAGTCTTTCTTTTTACCACTAGTAGCTGATTATTGTCAGGGGCAGGCTGACTGCTGAAGCCTCTTCTTTTTTAAAAAAATTAGGACCCCCATCGTCCACTGCTATCTTTTCAACTTTACAAAGCATTTGATATCTATCTGGGATCTCTTCACAGTTATGGCATAAGTAAGAAAAGCTGTTGGGCTCCTGGTCTGTCAAGGGCGGTATTGTCTACTCTGACTGGCAGTCGCTTTCCAGGGGTCTCATGTCAAGATCTTTCAGATAATGACTCAGCCCTACCCCACCTTCTGGTGTAGATATAAATTACCTGCCTGCCATTTTTCTTCTCACCTTGGCACAGAGAGTACTCCATCTTTCTGTGTTATACCTCTGAGGATGCCAGCCACAACTGCTGGCGAAACATCGTCCTTCTAACTGAATGTGCCGGGGACTGAACCTGGGACCTTCAGCACGCAAAACAAAAAATATCCACTGAGCCATGGCCCCCAACTTCCGAACTGTGTAGAATAGGCCTGTGTATATACTTGTCAGGTTCCACAGCAAAACAACGAAGTACACGCTTCTAGGAAGGTTTTACTTTTATTGAAAAGCCATAGATGCAATAACACGAACACTGTTAGGAATGGTGGACTACCTATGCGCATAATAGGATATAGGGCATTCGTATGCACACACCCCCCAGCAATACCCAATTAGATGGGCTCCCGCGCATGGGAGATGGCAAGAGTCTCTAACGGTAGCGAAGCTGGGAACCAGGACGATCCCACAGAAGGTAGACACCACAACTCCTCCAGTAATCCTTTACAGATAAACGTTGCAGCTGTGAAGCAATTAAGCGCATGGGAAGGAATGCAGAGCAATTAGAAAGCCTCTCCCTACTCATGGCAGCTTAGCTGACAATACTCTTGCTTAAGAAAAGCAGGCCAGATCCTCCTGGGAAACTGAGGCTACAACAGAAATAGACACCCTCTATTGCTTGTGTCCAACACCCCAGAAGCTATCAGAGGCTCTGGAATAATTAATTCCACCAGTTCTGATAAACTCCAAACCAGATTTCTGAAATCAAAGACAGCTTTGAACTTTATGGGATAGAGATTATGCCTGGAAAGCAATTGTGATTATCAGTAATTTTAGTTCTTATTGCAATGTGGAGGATGCACTGTGACGAACCCTTCTCTGGGGAGGTCTGGTTTTACTTTAAAACGTTCTTTCTGTTTTGTTTTACTCTGTATATCCGGCTGCCACCAGGAAATTTTAAGGCTTTCCAAACCTTTATAATATATATTTCTATCACTGGGTTGGTGGATCGAGGGTTTAAGCTTTCGAGGAACTATGTGGTCTGAGGAAGGATTCTTTCTAGAGCTGGTATACTTGAATGAAATAGGATTTATTTAAAGAAAGCATAAATACGAGGGTAGAACCATGTAACTTTGTAACACTTTTTTCCCTTTAGGCCACATACGGTTACTGTTTCTTTATACTTCAACTTTTCATAACACACACAAGACTTCTCTCTCTCAGACCTTAAAACGAACAAACTGCTTAACTCTTTTACTACACAGAACCAAATTATCCCACACAGGGATGAGTCTCCTTCTCTCGGAGACAGAACTTAACTAACTTCTCTCACAGAAATCAGAACTAAAACTGCTTAACTAACTCTCTCTTACTGTCTTCATCAACTGACATATCTCTAACTGACCCTCTTGACAGACGTTCAAATCCTCCACACAGCATCCATTCCAAAACCCCTCCCCCTCTCTGTCACTCACCAATCACACCACTTGCTTGTTTCCACTACTCTAGACTATCATACAGCCATGCATCCAAACTTTTAAAGTCTCACACACACACAGTTAAACATGAAATCGTTACATGCACCCTGTCCATCCTCGCCATATAAATCAAGATGTATCTTCTGTTGTTCATCAGTGCTTGAATTCCTGTCCGTGCAGGTCCTTTGAGCCAATCCTTCGACTCATTCCCCAAGGCATCTCTCCAGTCAGCCAGCACTGGGCGACGTGGGCACTCTACAACCTCGTTTCTGTCTACCGTAAGTCCCTGCGGAGAGAGCTTTCCTGTGGCAGGCACCGTTAGAGCCAGGGCTAATTAAATATGTGCCTTAACTAGGGCTAAGCCCCCCCACCACTGACAGACTTGTCGTAGACTCTTAATGACTACCATCTGCCTTCCACTTTCTCACACCACTTCCTAATCACTCCCCGGTAACGTTTCCTTAAAGACGATAACAATACGTGTCATTATCATGCCCACCCTGTCCCTGGGGCTACCCTGAGCTTGTTGGCATGATATTGAACCAGAGGCATCCATGGCCCGATGCAGTGGGTTAGCAGCAGCAGCAATGCGGTCAGTGTAATGTGAGCTCTGAACGTACAGCCTGGGTGGGAGTGACACGGGAGAGAAGCGTTTGCTGAGCGCTTGTGAAATGACTCCTTGCATTTTTGAGCTAATTCATGTCGTTGCTGTTCAGAGTGCTTGACGGAAGTCTAAGGAAGTCCCTGATTTGAAAGTTGTCTCTGACACAGACTTTCTAGGGGCCTTGGGAACAGCCCCTCTCAGTCTTAACAGTATGCCATAAGGGTTGCAGTTAGGCAATATAAGCTCTGAAGCTGAGTCTTCCCATTTGTCAAGTGGTGGTTGAGGGCATCCTTCTATCTGCTTCTCTTTCTATTTATTCATTTCCTTCCTTCTTTTCCTTTATATCCCGCCAGTTTGGTGTAGTGGTTAAGGGCGCGGACTCTAATCTGGGAGAACCGGGTTTGATTCCCCATTCCTCCACTCGCAGCTGCTGGATGACCTTGGGCAAGCCGTAGTTCTGTCAGAGCTGTTCTTGAAAGAGCAGATCTCTCAGAGCTCTCTCAGCCCCGCCTACCTCACAGGATGTCTGTTGTGGGGAGATTGTAAGATGCTCTGAGACTCCAAGTGAAGGGTGGGGTATAAATCCAATCTCCCCCCCCCCAATAGGACCCAAAGCAGTTTGCATCCTTCTCCTCTCCTCAATTTTAGCCTTACAACGACCCTTGTGCGTTACAATAGAGTGAGAATACGTGACTGGCCCACGGTCACCCAGGCCAGTTTCCATGGAGGAGTAGGGACTCGAACCTAGATCTCCCAGATCCTAGCCTGACCCTCTAACCACCACACTACGCCGGCTCTTTTTCTTGTCTCCCGGGTACAACTCCTTCTCATGGACCAAAAATCAGACCCAGTGCATGAAGATTTAACCCCTTTTCAGAGCCAAATAATGTAGGAGAATTAGGAGACAATGGATATCCAACCACCAATTTTTTTCCCTTCCCCTGTTTTGCAGCGGACAAGTACTGCCCCCTGCTGATCAAAGAGGGTGGGCTCCTCCTCCTCCGGGACATGATTAAAATGGCCTCGGCACGACCAGAAACCAAGGAAATGGGAAGGTAGGTTCTCTTGGAATAAGTCTGGCACTCCATAAATACAGGAAGGGACCGGAATCCTTGGGTGTTGCAGCTATTGGCGTGTTCAGTCTCTGACATCTCCAGAGCTAGTATCAAGTAGCAAGCCTCGGGGCCACATGTCTGTTGGCACCCCATACCCTAAAAGTACACATTGGTGAAGTTCCAGAAGTCTTTGCACTCAAAGTTGCACTGCACAATATGTTCTTTGCTCCGAAGCCTGCCTTCGAATGCTGATCTGTGACTCTGGAGCCCATGTGCCTGATGTAGTGTGCCTGCAGGTGATTCACAAAAGCTCAAAGACATCGAGGGCCTTAGCAGTAGTAGCACACACACACAAAACCTTTATTGGCATGAAAGCACAAAACATCATGGAAATACGGGAAAATACTAAGGCTATTCAAGCCTCGTCTTCTGATTGCATAATATAAACATTTTGCAACGGCCTCCATTGTTTCGCAATTAGAATTAAACAGAAGAAAGTGAACAACTGAGTCATCAGAGGGCCAGCTCTTACCCTCTAGAAGTGGAGTAATCAAACGAGATCGGATATCCCTATAGAGGGGGCAATGAAGTATGGTGTGTGTCATGGATTCTATACCTTTTGGAGAGCCCTAAGGACAAAGTCTGTCTACATAGGGTATCTGGCGGTGCCTCCCTAAAAGCACCTCTGATGGCAGAACATTAAAGCATGCCAGCATGTATGCTCTGCAATGATGTGGGGCTGTTAAACTTGACAGGTACTTCGCAGTAGAGCCCGTGTCAAAAGTCCCCAACCTGCCTTAGCAGTAGTCATTGTGGCCCGGTGTTTGCCCTGCAAACTGAACAGGAGCAGCACAAGTTTCACGAAGGCCACTTTTGATTCTGGGAGATTGCACTTGAGAAGCAAAGCCCCACAATTAGGTGGCAGTCCTAGTTTGGAGCACCGAAGGTATCCTGGGCCTCCCTTTGCAAAATAAGCACAGTTCTGTTTCTCGATCAATCGAATGTGAATTTCCTTGATGGTGTTTTTTTGGAGGAGAAAGGGAACCAGAGGAGGGTGCAAAGAGCTCAGCTGGCGCAGGTGGTTGCCCTCGCAACATCCTGCCAAGGACTCTGCCATGACTGGAAGCTGGCCTTTCTTCTTGTTCATGCACTGAAGTTTTTTTTTTTTTAATGATTCTCTTAGTTGATCTGATAGCGCTGTGGCCTCCTGTATTTTTACTTAGTTTTAAACTGCAGTTTGTAAACTACACCGAGGTTGGGTTGCTGAAAAACTGGGTGTCTATTAACAAAACAAACAAAACCCTGCCTTTTCTCTTCCACCTGTTGGCTGTAGCCAACCCTGTTGTAGGGAATTGTGTGTCTGCCGTTTCCTGCAACTCTTTCTGGATTCCTGTCCAGGAATGTTATAGAACATTGCAATAATTTTATGGATGAGAGTCTCTGCCATTTCCTGCAACTCTTTCTCGATTCCTGTCCAGGAATGTTATAGAACATTGCAATAATTTTATGGATGAGAGTCTCTGCCGTTTCCTTCAACTCTTTCTCGATTCCTTTCCAGGAAAGTCATAGAGCATTGCAATAACTTTATGGACGAGAACATGGACACTTCAAGATAGAGGCGACCAGGGCGGCCGTCTCCTGCTGGCACTGGATTTAGCATCTCTCCGATTTCACTGTACATAGGTTGGACTTTCTCACCAGCTTAGCTGTTGGAAGGAGCCATTATGAATATTTCTGTGTGTGTGTGTATGCGCGCGCATGTGCGTGTGTGTGTGTACAAAGACTGTCAGCAAATGGAAATGCACATGAATAGCAATGGCCAGGGGGACATATTGCACAACAGAATGCGTTCCTTTAAGTAGTGGTGTTTCCCCCATCTCCTTTTGTTTAAGACGTACAGATTGGAATTTGTGTGTTTGATTGTGTGCGTATGATTTCTGTATAAAAAAAAGCGCAACAGTGACATCACGTTATCTGCCGACCTTTTCTAGAGCACACGGGACGCGTACAGTGGGCGCGAACGCAAAGATCTAGCTGTAAGATGGAGACATGGCTTTTGTCCCTTTTCTTTTTTAAAAAACTTCCTTAAATATCTAGATCGCTGCCTTCCAGTTTGGATTGTATGAGGTCTGGTGGCGCTCCCGCAGTTGAGTAGGTGATCCAAAATCGATATGACCGGGTCGCCGCAAGAGGGGGCCTGCACTGTACGTCGTGGTGGGAGGCAAACGGAGGCTGGTAGCTGTAATGTTGGGGCTGGTGGTCTCGGGGCAGTTCAGCTGTCTGGATGCAGCTGTCTTGAAAGACCAGCCAGAAGGCTTTTAGTCCCTTGGATGTCACCTGACCCCTGCTGAGCTGCAGTTCCATCCTCTGGCCATCTACAGGGGTGGTGCTGAAGTGCAGCCGAGAGCAAGACTCCCCCTCTGCCGTGGTGGCACAGAGAACGCGTTGTGGAGGGTGAAGGGTTCGAGACCCCTTTGTAGGCGAGAGGTTCAGGTTTAAAAGCCACAAGTGGGGGCTGATGCTGGTCAGCAAAACACCCAGGGAAAGGATAAAGGCCACTTGTGTCTTAGTGACCTCCCAGTTTATTGGGAACGGAAATGAATTTCTAGATGCAAATCGCAGTTCTGTGGCTTAAATCGATCTGGGCGTTGCAACGGACCTCATGCGGCCAGATTCCTGTAAAGAGGCACGCTGAGTTTCCCAGATTTACAGTGCAGTCCTAAAGAGAGTTACTCCAGTCTAAGCCCATTCATTTCAATGGACTTAGACTGGGGTAACTCTGCATAGAGTCGCGCTGTTGATCTCCCTCCCTCCCTCCCTCCGTCCATAGTGTGAGAACAGGGAAGCCATCATGTTTATTAAGACAGGAACCAGCTTCTTGGGTGTGTGTGTGAAGAGGTTGCTTTCTGTGTTGTAAGGCACCAAGGGCAAAGTCTTTCTTGTTTTGAACTCCTATTCTTTTCTAGGCCTCTCTGTCGAATAGCAAAAAGTCCCACAGCTATCAGAATGACATCGAGGGAGGGGCGCCCACAGACCAGGGGAGGGGGGCTCAGCATACTTGGGAGGCTCTCTAGGCACACAGGGAAATACCAACCCGAAACAAACAAACAAAAGATCATCCTGACGCGGACTGAGCCCGTTCAGAGTTCTCTGAGATGCTGAGGGCAGCAGCGTGCCCTCGGCTTGCTCATGCCCTGCGTGGCCGATAGCACAGAGGAGAGCGGGAAGGGTTCCACTCCCCCTCTCCAAAATCCCTTCCTCCCCAGCTCTGTGCTGCCCAGGTACGGGGCTCGATGAATGGCTTCCCAGCTCTCCTCTCGCCCTGGCCCTCTGTGGTCGGTCACAGCCACCGGACAGCTTAGCTTTAGCACTGCACAGCAAAGGCCCAGTCAGTGCACAGTCAGTGGAGGGGAAATCTCCCACGATTCCCTGCCAGCGCCGAGCCGGTCCCTGTACAAAAGCCATTTCCCAGGGTTCCATCACGCCTTCGTGTGACCAAGAAAGAGAAACTAAAGCCGGGCTGTGCAGATGATTAAAGCACCGTTGCAATGGGGGAGGGGAACAACCTGCCCTCTGTCTCACACACTGGGAGATCTGGCTTGTAGTGAGGGGTCTTCCCCCGGGGTTGGGTGCAGTCACTGTCTCTCATTTGCACTTTGCCAGACTTCCTTCACCATTCAGGCCCTTTGCCCGCCTCCACCCATTCTAGAACGATGGCCATTTTGCTGGCATTTGGAATGCTTGCCCTAAGAGGGCAGTTGGTGGCTTGAAGCCACTCAAATCCAGGTGAGGCGATAAATCGTGGTTTGTTAAAACCATGACCCTGTGCAACAATTTCTGGTTTATGTCTGCCAGAGGTAAGCAACAAATCCTGGTTAGTTCACAAAGCCCCGGTCATTCAGGCGCTTTCACACATGCTAAATAATTCCGTTTCAGTCCACTTCGGTAACCATTTGCAAGTGGATTTTGGCATTCCACACAGTAAATATCCAGCTGTAAAGTGCATTGAAAGTGGATTGAAAGTTTCTTGCCTCTTCTGCGCCTCCCAGCGGGAAAGACATCCTCCCTGGGAGGGCAGTACTCTGCAAACCGTGCATTTTGTGTACATTCTGTGTACACCGTTGGTGTACATTCCAATTCATAAGCCAGCTGCAGTTCCTAGTTTGAAACCCGGATTTTGATGTCCAGCAACCAACTCTGGTTCGTTCAGCCATCTTGCAGTCCGATGCCACAGCTCAGTGGGATTTGGCCAAACCACAGTTTATACTACTGCTTCTCCTGATGCCTGAATTTAGCCCCAGGCTTTCTGGCGCTGACATATCAAGGGCTGCCAGGCAAGGCTTTTTCTCACCGTCTCCTCTCTTCTAGCCATCGTGCCCAGTTAAACGGTCTCCGGAAGGGATGTTGACACTATGAAGTTTTGAAAGCTGGAAGCCACAGAGTATCAGAAGGGGACCTCTGAGCACCCCAGTTTGGGGTTGCTGCTAAAAGGACATGCAGTTTCCTCTCTGAGACAAGGCCCATCTCCAAGTCAGTGTAACATGAGAGAATGCACTGGCAGGGCTGCCTACACTAGAAGGGGCTCCAAGCAAGGAGTGTCTTTGGTATCTCCCCCTTCCCCAGTTGTTCAACTTTCAAACACAGCCGGGACAGAGAGCCAGTCTGGTGTAGTGGTTAAGTGTGTGGACTCTAATCTGGGAGAACCGGGTTTGATTTCCCACTCCTCCACATGCAGCTGCTGGATGACCTTGGGGAAGCCATAGTTCTGTCAGAGCTGTTCTCTCAAGAGCAGTTTTGGAAAGAGCTCTCCCAGCCCCACCTGCCTCACAGGGTGTCTGTTGTGGGGAGGGGAAGGGAAAGGAGTTTGTAAGCCGCTCTGAGACTCCGAGTGAAGGGCGGGTATAAATCCAATCCCTCTAACTCTTCCTCCTCCTCCACTCAGGTCCCCCCCCCCCCCAGGGTCGCTGGTCCTAAATCTAACCCTAGGCGTTGATGCTTGGTGGGGAAGACCGATTAATTCTCCATGCTTGTCAAGCGGTCATCACCACACCAGTCCTGACAGTCCCAAGGGAGGGCCGGTTAGCCAGTCATCTCGGCCAGACATTCATTGGGGGAGCATCCCTTCTTGTTTCTGCTGATTTCTCTCCGTGTCCTGTTTTTCTAAGAAAATAAGAGTGCGGCTCTGCAGTCTAGTTCAGAGCAGAGATAAATCGAACAGCAAGACAGTAATCTAATATACCTTCGCCAGGGAGCAAGTCCCATTGAGCACAGTGGGGACTTACATCTGAGTAAACAAGCCTGGGATCACCTCGTGAATCATTATTCAAAGAACTTCCATGTGGGTATGGGTCGATTAGATTAGAACCTCTTGAGGGCCGCTTCACAAGACCTCCTCACACTTTTAGGGCTTTAGGTGGACCGCTTGGAGAAGCAGCGCAATACGCATATGAAGTCCCCGACCCAGTTTGGCAGTACTCATGTCTCAGTCCTGTTAAAAACAGTGAATGGTAACCAGGGCTTTTTTTGTAGAAAAAGCCCAGCATGCAAATACACCTCTTTGGATACTAAGCAGCGTGTGAGTTTGACAAACGCGTATTTGTGCAAATGTGTTGTCGGGCAGGGGGCATTCATAAGGGAGCTGGGACTGGCTAGAGGTCCCCGTCGTCACCTGCGGATGCGGCAGCGAAATGGTCCTGCAGTTTGACTGCCAAGCTGCTTCTAAAGTGGCCCTGGCAGATTACTGAGTTAAGAACGTCTAGGTGCAAATCCAGCAGCACCTCAGAAACCAACAAGATTTTCAAGGTATAAGTTTTTGAGTGTCGAACTTCTCTCTTGATGTCTGAGGAAGGGAGCGCTTTGACTCGAAAACTTATGCCCTGACTTTGATGGTTCCTAAGCTGCCGCTGGGTTTGCATCTCGCTGCTCTCCTGCAGGCTGACATGACGACCCCCTGAAACGATCCGTTAAAAACATAGGTAAGACACCAGAGAGTGTTTTGGAGGGGCCTCCGGTGTATTTCCATCTGTGGCCAAGCATGTGTCCGGAACTGGATGGGACCCACATGCAATCCGCTTGGAGAAGCCGCGCAATACGCATACGAAGTCCCGACCCAGTTTGGCAGTACTCATGCCTCAGTCCTGTTAAAAACAGTGAATGGTAACCAGGGCTTTTTTTGTAGAAAAAGCCCAGCAGGAACTCATTAGCATAATAGGCCACACCCAACAGCAGACACACATTAGCATATTAGGCCACACCCAACAGCAGACACACATTCGCATATTAGGCCACACCCCTGACAGCACAGCTCATTGGCATATTAGGCCACTCCCCCATGTTACCAGAAGTGTGCTCATCCAGCCACACCCACCTTTTGCTTCTTATTCTGTTGACCTTGTTTGTTGTCAAAACCCAGAGCTTTTTTGTAGCAGGAACTCCTTTGCATGTTAGGCCACACACCTAATGAGTTTCTGCTGTTGGGTGTGGCCTATTATGCTAATGAGTTCCTGCTGGGTGTGGCCAACTTGGAAGCCAGCCGGAACTCTGTTCCTGTCCATTCCTGCCCAAAAATAGCCCTGATGGTAACTAATTCATCCAGTCAATTTTTCAAGGGGGTAACTTGTTCATTGCAGCTTTTAGCTGGATCCGGACAAAACTGGACATACTTGCAGCCGCAGCAGGCTTCGATTTAATGCAGTAGTGTGACCGAGTCCTTGCTTGGCACCTGATTGTGTCCAACTAATGTATACCCTGAATCTGGAACGTCTGAAGCTGCCCTTAGTCTGCCGCCAGAGAAAGACCCACAAATGCCAGAGGAGGTCACCGTTGGCTTCCCGCTCGACTTCGTATAGCTAAAACTTGCTTGCATCCCAAAGTCCCCGGTTTTAATTCCTGCCCGGCTTGCTCTTGCTCCTTCCTGCCTTCTGATGGACCCGGTCCTCTTTTTGGCACAGAGGGCAGCTGGTTGCCAGCAGAATAGGTGAGCTGCTGTTGGGAAACCCGTGCCAAAAAAGCCCGGATGCTTCCAGGGCTGGCCTAACACAGTTGAGGCTGTTAATTATGATGAGACACGACCACCAGGAAAGTCTCTTCCGCAAGAGAGAACATCTCCTGTGCAGGGGAACTCCTCAACACACCGCACTTCGTTGCGCAAATCTCTCCCTCTCCAGCATCCTGGATCCATCTTGTTTCTTGGGAAGGCCACCTTTTGATCTTCCTCCTGTTGCACTCCGTAGCGGATTTGGTTTCCTCAGGCCAGTAAAATGTGTACCCAACTCATTGGGAGTGCAGGGGAGAAGATGAGTGATGGACTGCAACGGCCTTCCAGTTTTGGCTTCTTGGAGATGCAGCCAGCGAACCTGGACTCCCCTGCCAAAAAGTCCTGTGGGCAGGAGCCCAACCGAGTGTCCTCACAGCTCCTCTTCCCAGTGAGGTTTTCTCCCCGACATAAAAGTCTCGCTTCGCTTGCCTTTCGTTCCCCCAAATTTGCAACAACAGGTGCCGCGTGGCTAGAAAGTGATCGAAAGTGTGCCGTTCCTTATTAAAGGAAAGATGAC